AACAAGTTTAATCCTTTAAAGTAGATTTAAGTATGGATTCACTTAAAATGTACTTGTATGTAATGTATCAGGGGCGGTTAAGCTCCTTAATAGACTGAGCCATTCTTTCTAAATTTGAAATTTTTAGAGCGCCACAATTAATACTGTAATGAAAACTTAACTGAAATTCCATAAACTATAAATTATTGTATATCCGTAATAAGAGTTATAAAAAGCTAAATTATCAGATTAATTAAGGATGAGTACGTGTAGTTTTCGACTAGTCATATCGCACTCTTAACTCGGGCAGAAATGAAATTTGTTGCTACATATACGTTTACTCTTTCATATTAGTTTTTAGTAATTTCAAAGTCATACGGAATATTGACAATTTTCTAAAATAGAATGGCACAAATATGAAGTGGGAACTCACATTTATTTATTGAGAGCCACGAAAAATTCATATTTGACACACAAAGCTAAAGTTTGGTCACCCCTTGTAATATATGCAAAGAACAATAAAAACGTTCACCTTGTTGTACTTGTGTATGAATTGTGAATTGCAAAAAATTACAAAAAAAAAAAAGGAATCCATGTGCTCAATGATTTTCTTTAACTTTTATTTCACTTGCATTTTTTTTTCGTTTTTTTTGGCTTATGTAACAAAACTACATACGATCCAATTGAATCAAATCCTTTGGCAATAATTTTTCTATACTTTTTTTTTACTATTCAATTGAAGTAAAAAATTTTTTTTTTAATTTTTCTAGTTTTTTTCATCCATAAAATTTATATAACTCTTTTTTCTTTCCCTTCCTTTAGTTTTATTTTTGTTGTTATTTTTTTTTCTTATTGTTATATGGAAATAATTTACATGCACTTGTGCATATCACCTTCATTCAAAAGATTCTTATTTGTTCCTTTTTCCTCAAAGAAATAAAACAGATTTTTTTTTCCTGCTTAAAAAAAAGAAATACATTTTATTGCCAGGGCTTCTTTATATTTTTTATTGATGATGATTTTGATTACTTGTAAAATATACAAAAAAAAAGTAAATTAAAAAAATATAAAAATAATTGACTTTGACGTTTTTACACACATAGTCACATTAAATTTGTGCACTAAATAAACGAGTGCATATTATAAGGTTTATACGTTACAGGTAAAGTGTTAAAAAATTATGGCACATAATTATTATTAAGTCGAAATTTTGATTTATTGACCGGCAATTGAATCGGCAATACAAAATGTTCATATAAAAGCAAAAACAAAAAATACAGGAAATATTGAGTTTTTTGTTTTTTGCAATTATTTAATTTATTATTGAATCTGACAATTCAAACACATGCATATACAAATTTTAATTGACATTTGAAATAAATTAATATAGAATTTTTTAATTAAAAACTAAATAATTAATTAAGTCTCATTGTTTAATTTAATAAATATTTAATAAAATAAATTTTAATTTGATAAATAGCGATTATAAGTGAAATATTCAATTTATATTTGGTAGTTTCGTAAAATTCGAATCGTCTATATTTTAAAATAATATTTTGTAAAAATTCAATTAATTTGAGCATAGTAACTTTAGATTGTATTGAGTTTAATATGTTCCAAAAGTACCATATTAAACTCAATACAATGTCTATACAGTAACCATAATTTGAGAATTGCAGTAATACTCTATTGGTACCCTATTCAATAATTACAAGTGATAAGCTGAATTTTGTATATTAATGCTGTATTACTGCAATTTTGAGGTCAAGGTATTTAAGCTATACCTCTAAGTAGTATCCTATTCCGAAATGGATATAATCAAGTAATTACTGCGCAAAATAAAAGTAGTATGTAAAACCAAAAAATCGATACTGCTTTGCCATTATATGTAAAAGTTAGTTATAAGAATAAATTTTTACTAAAAATTTTACAATTCTAGTTTTCTTCATGTGACAATACTAACTGTGGAGAAATTAATTTGTGACATTAAAATTTCAGTGCCCAATTGTTTTTTTTTATAGCTTTTTATGACTGTTTTTTGGAATACACCCAAACGCATATTTTCAAAATGAAACCATAATTCTGAAAAAATTATTACTTTTTTTAAACTACATACATATTTAATAAATAAATTTTATTTTGTCGAAAATTATAAAAGTTTATGAGTCCACCAAAACAAAATCATGGTAAAATGGTAATATCATGGTATCATGGTAAATTAAAAATATTACTATTTTCAAATTTGCTAAATATTTGGCGAATAAAGCATAACCCAAAATGTCAATATAATATTTATGTGTGAATTTCCACCTAATTTTTTTAAAGGTTGTATGTATTTCTCATATAAATTTACATTTGTATGCGAGGGAATGAGAATTAAAAAGAATAGAATATTAATAGTTTCTTATATACATATACATATGTAGACTCTGCTTACATATAAACAAACATACACGTAATAATTTATCGCTCTGTATGACTTTCAAGTTTCAGGTTCTTAATCAAAACAATTGAAAATTTATTTTAAAATATTGACATTTTTATGTTTAATATTAATAATTTTTTAACATTTTATAGAAACTATAATTTTAAATTGCAAATTAATATTACTCGGTAATAAATATTATTAAATTCCGTAACAATATGGTGTCGTTTATATACATATTAATTTTAAGATTCAAAAGCATAATTTAAGTTATTCTTAATAATTTTTTTATTATTTTTCAATTTTCTAGTTATTTCAATAATTTCTTTTATACTCTTCAAAATACATCCATTAAATTCATTATATAAGATTCAATAAGTATTTTAAATATATGCACATATACAGGGTGTTTCACATAAGGTGCCAAATAATTTCAGAGATAATTCTTTGATTAATTTCCAGCAAAAAATAACTCTTCAATCAAAATTCTTCTTTGAAGTTTTGCCAGTAAAACATGTTAAATGCCTTTTGAAAAGCATAAGAAGAATGCATGTGTATTCATACATTGTATGTAATCGTCCCTCAAGTTATTTGAAATTTTATGCGAAACACCGTGTATTTAAAAAATATTCTTCGATAATTAAAAATTTATTTTGGATTTCACATTAAAATACAAAATTCCTTAACTTTTCACTATGTGAAATCAAATAAAATTTAATTAAACTCTTATAACATGTTATAAATGTAGGTAGTTAAAGAAAAGGTATATTGGCTCTGGTATTGAAAGTATTAAATTCGAGATTAAAAAATATGAAAAAAAAATTTAATATAAAATGAAATAAAAAAGCAATTAAATTCGTATAAGTTTTAATTTCTTAAATATTTCTATGCTTATCGTAAAAATTCATTCCAATATTATTTTAAGTAAAACATCGAAAATCGTAAAGAATACTGGAAAAGGTGTTTTTTTTATACACCAAGATACTCTTCCTTTCCTATCTAAAGTGAAATGAGCAAATTTTTATGTGTTATATTGTAATAAAATATGAAATTTTAATTCTTGCAATTGGTTTAAAAACCAATTAAACAGAATAGGAAATGATTTTAAAGTTAGTTATGTTAATTATGAATGTTGCGGATGCCTCATGGATGTATTTAATGTTGGCAAATTATTTTTCTTAGTTAATTAAGAATTTAATTTTTGTACAAATCTTAGTTAATTTTGGTACAAATTCTGAATTAATTTCCAAAACAGCTTCTATTTGTTATCAATTACTTCAGTACTTATATATTATATTTCTTTTAAAAAATGTATACTCTAACTATTGCCATGAAAGTCCATTTTCAGCGCTCAGTACATTAATGGCCTACTTGCAAAAATGACATTTTGAGTAAGCTGCAATTGAAATATTTAAATATGTATTTAATTTTTAAGAAAATTTTTAAAAGGCCAAAACGAAGTTATGTAAGTAATAAAAACGAACTTATGTCAAAATAAAGTGAACAAAAACAGTAAACGAATTATTTTTAAAATGTAGAACAATTCTTTATATACCATTACAGGTCTATTGAACATAATAACTCATTTTTGCCAAATTGTTGGATACGCCACTAATGTATCCAACTGAGCGCCTCATATAAATGTTCACATAGCGGGGGTTTGATAAAAAAATGCATTTAGCTATTTTTCAAAATTTTCGTTATTTTTTAGGTAAAAGAAAAATTTTACACTCAATTTTCTTAGGCAGTGTGCAAAAGCAAAATTTTATGTTATAATAAATAAAATTCATAATTAAAATTACTTGCAAATCATTTGTGGGCAACACCATGGCTCTGTCATGGTGTTTATTTTTAAATATTTGCTTGTTTAAAACAAAAAAAATCTATTTTAACTATTAAAGAAATCTTATTCATTATTAATTCATATTGAAATACAAGGCATTTCTTGAATAATTCCACCTATATTTGACAAAATATAGAAATGGTAAGCGATTTTTAAAATATAAAAAGGATTGTACTTAAATTTAAAGTCTCATAGTTTTTAAAACTAATTTAAAAAAAATCTTAATGACACGCAAAATTGTATATAATTGGTGCACGATATTTAAAAATATTTTCAATAAAAGAAGCTTTAACTATATTAATAAAAGGATTCTATTTTTATCTTTGAAAATTAAATTCCTATACCGTCAAGAAATTGATTACCTCAAATCAAGATTTTTTTTAATAATAAAAATCACAGTGACATCCCAAAAATTATCTCTTCCTTCCTAAATCTCTTCTTTTTTTTTTACCTTTTTTCTTTATTGTTAAAGATTTTATAAAAAATTTTTGTATTGAATTAAAATTAAATCCGGAATTCCTTTTCTTAAGTTCTTAATAAGGGAGAAGGAACAATTTGCTATAACAAAAGATTTTTTTTGTAATTTTTTTTTATTTTACAAAAATTATCATCATTATAAGGATATTGAATTTTATAAACTGTTTATTGTTATGTAATTTCAATTTTCAATATTAATAAAAATAAAAAACTTAATTTTAAAAACTTTCTAAAAAATTCATTTTGAATAATTTTTGTTATTTTAATTTTACTTTTACAGTAACAGCTGTCCCACCACCTCAGAGACCATGGATACCATTGGCTAGACCAAATAAAAATAGACCTGCATGTAAGTTGAAAAATATTATAAAATTCATTAGGAACGTTTTATTAATTTAAATTGTAAACCTGTAAATATATTTTTATTTTCAGGTATTTTCACTGTAATGTGTTATAACGTTTTATGTGACAAATATGCAACAAGGCAAATGTACGGTTATTGCCCTAGTTGGGCTCTAGGATGGGAGTATAGAAAAAAAGTAAATCAATTTTTTTTTATTTTTCATTATAAAAAATTTAATTATATTGAAAATTAATTAATTATTTATTGAAAATTTTATAATAATTTTTTTAATACAATAGGCAATCTTGGACGAAATTCGCCACTATTCAGCGGATATAATAAGCCTTCAAGAAATTGAAACTGACCAATTTTATAATTTTTTCAAACCCGAACTTAAAAATGATGGTTATGAAGGCATATTCTCACCGAAATCTAGAGCTAAAACAATGTCTGAAAATGAAAGAAAATATGTAGACGGCTGTGCGATATTTTATAGAGCTTCTAAGTAAGTTATTTTGAATATTACTAGTCAGTTAAAAATTTTTTCAAAATTTTTGAACTAAAAAATTATTTATTTCTCATATTTTTATTTTTTTTTTCAATTATTTTTAGGTTTACATTAATGAAAGAACATTTAATTGAATTTAATCAGTTAGCTATGGCAAATGCAGAAGGCTCCGACAATATGTTAAATCGCGTTATGCCAAAAGATAATATTGGTTTGGCTGCATTATTAAAAGTTAAAGAAAATGCATGGGAACCAATGACACCGGAAGTAACACAAAATTCTCAACCATTATTAGTTTGTACAGCACATATACATTGGGATCCAGAATTTTGTGATGTTAAATTGATACAAACCATGATGCTATCAAATGAATTAAAAACAATTGTTGATGAAGCATCACATAGCTTTCGTCCTGGTCATAAATCAGATCCAAATAGTGTTCAATTATTATTATGTGGTGATTTTAATTCATTACCAGATTCTGGTGTTATTGAATTTTTAAGTTCCGGACGTGTTAATATGGATCATGGTGATTTTAAAGAACTTGGTTATAAAGTATGCTTACAGCGTTTACTATCAAATGATACAAATGAGTTTACGCATTCCTTTAAATTAGCATCAGCCTATAGTGAAGATATAATGCCATATACAAATTATACATTCGATTTTAAAGGAATTATCGATTATATATTTTATACAAAAACTGGTATGGTACCATTAGGCTTATTAGGCCCAATATCAAATGACTGGTTACGTGAAAATAAAATTGTTGGCTGCCCACATCCTCATATACCATCCGATCATTTTCCATTATTAGTGGAATTAGAATTAATGCATACAGCTAGCCAACAAACACCAAATGGTTTAATAAATAGACGGTAGCATTAAAAATTTTAGGACAAATTCTCACCTCTGAAACAAAATTATATAATAAATAATATGAAACATAAAAAAAAAATGAAAAAAAAAAATTGAGATTTATAAAAAATGCTAAAAAAAAAAATTATTATAAAAAAAAAATACGATTTAATTAAGAAATAAAAAATAGAATGAAAACAATAGAGTAGAAAAAAAAATAGAAAAAATAAAAATTAACACACGCATAAACACAAACATTTTTTTTAATACGTAAGTCCAAAAAAAAAAAATCATTACAAAAAATAATAAAATTTAAAAAAGAAAATAACGACGAAATTATATAGAGAGAAAAAAATCAACATTAAACTAAATAAGTAAAATTTAAAGTTTAAGTAATTAAAAAGCAAAAATTAAAAAAAAAGAAAAACAAAAATCTTTCATTATGTAATAAAAAATAATAATTTACAGATTAAGAATAAATTTAGCTTTCATTTTATTTTAAATTTTTTAAATATTTCTTGAATAATTTTTTTCATTTCTTTTATTTTAAATATAATAATTATTTCATCTTAAGAGACGTTTGATAGGAAAAAAAAGAAAAATAAAACAAAAATTTATAATAAAAATAATTATGAAAAAAAAAATCTCTTATTTTTTTTTATACATTTAAGTTTTTCTGTTCAGTGTGCATTTAATTTACAGTTATCATCTTTACAAGACTGCTTGGCGCTGAATACGCTCTAATTTTACTAAAAAAAAAAATACTATATATAGATACTTATGGTGACCAATCATCGCATTTTATTTGGAAGTATCCACATCTCAAATTCAGCACATTTTTTTTTTCTTGATTAAGTATTTGATTAGTCTTTAATGCGCCTCTCTTGAATTAAAATATTAATAATAAAATCGCCACTTTTCATTATACTGATCAATAATTGTTTATTGAAATTGATTTACTGATTGAATTGTTTATTGATATTTTGTGAAAACTACTTAGAATAGTATTCCGGAAAATGATATTCACATAATTTCTTGCTAAATATTATTTATTTTGAAAATTTAATATAGGTATTGTACTTTTTTCATTATAGAAATTTCTGCAAAAAAAAAAATATAGAAAAAAGAAGATAGTTTGTATTTATAAAATTGAATGAAAACCTTTACTTAGATTCAAAATCATTGATTAATATGAAAAAAATTAAATTCAAAATAGTTTCCATTTGATTTTTTAATTAAACTGGCTACTTATGATATACAGTCTATACGGTTAGAATAAGAGTAGAGACCACATCCTAGCCGATTATCATGATGATTTAAATGATTTATAAATTAACTAAATAAGAACGAGAAATTAATTAAACAATTCGAATTTAAATATCCCCTTTTTTCCCATTTGATTTTTCTATTAACAAAAAAACAAATTTGCGTATTTAAAAATTAATTATGGCAATAAATTTTCTATTACTGATTTAAAAAAATTGCATTTAGTAATTTTGAACTTACAAAATTAATAACAATCTGATTTAACTTGAAAAAATATTAAAAAATTATTTTACATAAAAGTATGGGAATTTTTAATAATTCAGACATGTACTGAAAGTTCTTAATTAAATCTTAAAAGCCTTTTCACACATACGCGTACAAATCTTTTGCTAATTTGAAATATACATACTTACTTGAGTAATTTTTAATTGATCTGATCATTATGATCTGATGCTCTTCTTCTAATTTATAATATTTTTGCATTAATTATAAAAAGAAAAATTAAAAATTCTTTTAGAACTTTAATAAACACAATTGTTATTTTTGAAAATTTTGGCTTTATATTAAGAACTAAATTGGAACTGAATTATCGAAAATCTCCAATATTTGCAATGTTCAAAGTTTAAATTGTACTACGTTATAAAATACGACAAAATTGAAACATAAAAAGATTATAAAAACACGAGAATTGTAAAAATATATTCGGAAAACAAAAAAAAACAAATTTATTTAAACTTTTTTGTGCAATTTTTTCTTAATACTTACCTTATTTTGACAAGTTGCTTCTTAACTTCGAGAAAGCTATAAGATTGCACTTTTTTTGAAATTCAAATAAATTTCATTAAATTACACTTTTGGTTGACTCAAACCATATTCTTTTTTTTTTAAATTCAAATTCATTTTATAATTTTAAACAAATATTTTAAGAAAACTCTAAAATCTTAGGTATAAAACTCGTTTTACCAGAAAATAAAAATTAATTTGTTTTCTAAAAATGTATCTTTTATTAAAAGATATTCTTTTAGGTTTGTGTATGTTTTTTTAAGCTTCTATTTGAAAATTTGTAATTCTCATTTGTGTAGATTTTATATAAAATAATTTAATAAAACACAAAAATTAATTTTTATAAAACAAGAAAAAAAATTTTTTTTTGTATAATTTAATTTTAAAAAACATTATGGGTATTCACTGATTAGTGGTAGCAATTACCGTGTTCGATGTATTGATGTATCAGAGAAAAGATTTGCACTGCTACAATAACTCTTTGTATGTAAAAAAAATCGCTCACTAGTGCATAGGTGCTCCACAAAAACGTAATGTATAATATTTGTTTTGGGAGCAAAATTTTAAAAATGACATTTGAAAAAAAAAATTTATTTTCTTTTAAAAAATAGTTCAAATCTTTTTTATTGTGTGTTGTTTATTTATGTGAATTTGTAAATAAATATAAAAAATAATTTTTTTTACGTCCTTCACTAGTTAGAGGAAATTCATAATTTTTTTTTTTGCATTAATACATCGATAAGTGAAAATTCCTAATGTTTTTTACTTTATTTGTTTTGCATTTTCAAGTTTGAAAATAAAGGTATCCGAATAATTATCAAATTGTTAAGAAAAGCTATTCAATTTGATTAATTGGACAAATAATAGCGCAATACTTTTTATACAAAAAAAAAACAACTAAATATGACTAGAAGGTCATAAGACATGAAATTTTTCAAATCACAATAAAATCAGAATCTAATAAAAATCATATTTAAAAAAGAAAATATTAAATTACCTCATACTAATAAATATGTAGATCGAATACACAGAAATTAATTTCACCAATAATTTGTAAAAATTAAATAATAAAATTTTTTATCTATTAAAAGCACTTTTAAATTACTTTCTTTTAATTCGAAATTTCTTTGTAACATTTTATTTTTTATAAATTTGTATTAAATATTTTGGCAAAAACAAAACTAGTTAATCAAAATTAAAGAGTAAATAGTTAACTTGCTAGAAAATTAGTAAAAAAATAAAAATAAATAAGTTTTAAAACCCTAAAAATTACCCATATATGAAAATGAACTAAAAAAATTAAATGTAAAAATTGTAAATGTGAAATTTTAAATTATTTCTAACATAATAGAGATTTATATAATAATTATAAGAAAAGAACTAAATTCTTAATTGGTGGAAGTACTTAATAAACTAAATATAATAATATTATTGTTTGTGAACTATTTCAGTATTAAAATTTCAATATTTAGTATAATGTAGTGAGTAAAACTACAAATTATTTATTATAGACAATAACCGTTATATGTTTAAACTAAGTCTATCTACTTTTACTTTTTTTTTTTTTTTTTAAATAAAATCATTTTCAAAATTTGAAATTCTATAGTGAAAACCTTAATATATGTATCTAAATTAATAATATTATATTACGTTAAGTAATACGTCTCACAGAATATGAAGCTAATATTTGTTTACATTCCCCAATAAAACGCACAGTACCAATCGGAAATTTAGTTAATTAAATGAAAAATCAAAATTTTATTATTAAAAATGAATTGCATTGGTTTTCATGTTGTCATATTTAAAGACAAAAAAAAATGTCTGCCCTTAGCTTAAATATATAACGGTCTTAAAGTTAGTGGAACTAAATAGTAAAGTTTGAACGACTAATAATACTTTGTAGTTCTCTATTTAAAAAACAAAAAAATTTAATTAAATTAATTTTCTATTTTTGTTGTGACATTAATTGAATTATTGGTGTATTTTCTTAAATTAAATATCGAAATGTGCATTTACTTAATAAATGATCCCAACTAACTCATTTTTTGTTTTTAATTTTTATTGAATAAATGCAGGAATATTTATATTTTGGAAAATATATTCTTATACAAACAAGAATTTTAATACTTTAAAAAACCATACATAAATATTTCGTAAATATCCTCTTTATGTTTTATTACATAAAAAAAAATGAAAAAAATGAAAACATGTAAAATAACCATAAATAATAAAATTGTTTTAGTACAATTTTTATAAATTCAAACAAACCAATTTTTTAAAATTTTTGCCATTCTGCAAAATTATATCGAGATTATATTTCAGACCTGTAGAAAATTTATTAATTTAAAGAATTTATAATTTCTTACAGTTTGCAAAGAATTAAAAACTTTAACAATCTTAGAACCCGATTATAAAAAAAGCACCTTGTTTTAAGCAAAAAAAATACTAGAAATGTGAATAGGTCCGATTTTCTTTTGTAATTAAAGATTTTTGTTAAAAGTTGAATATATTGAAACAGTCCTTTCTTATTTTAGAGTACAGCCATCATTAATGCACTTAAACAAACATGAAATAAAAAAAACAATTTTAAAAATATATTTTTAATAGAAATTTGGTATATAATCAATCTCTTTATCTCGTATTTTAATTGGAAAAGTTATTTTAATAACTTGAATTCAAATCTTCATTTTCATATAATCAGAAACTAATTTAAGCTTTCTAAATCATTTGGACTCGATGAAAAAAACAATTTTTATAATATACTTTAATAATTCCAATACTACTTTAATACTTTAATAATTTAATACATTTTCATAGGTTGATCATCTATTTTTTTTATATTTTATTATTTATGGTTTAAGCATGGATGAAATTTTATTTACTTTAAATTATAAATAATTTAAGTAATAAATATTTGAAAATAAAAAGAAAAAAAAAATCATTTATTCTTACGATAAACACCAAAAGAAAAATCTATTTTCTAATCTTAAAAAAAGTACAAAATTTTCCATTCAGAAAATAAAAATTAATAAAAACAAAATTATGAGAAAGGTTAAATTATGAAAAATAATTATAGTAGTATAATAATAATAATAACAATAAAAAATAATGAAAATGAAAATAATTACTTAAAAAACTTTCAACAAATAAAGGCATAATGAATAAATTAATATAAAATATAATAATTTTAAATTTTGCATATCATTTCAATAATATTATTATTAATAATTTAGTGCTAAATATTTAAAATAAATTTAGTTTTCTTTGAAAACTATATTGCATTTATAAATTATCTTAATATTAATAGAACAAACTATAAACTCAATCCAATATTTTCAGCTTTAAAATATTATTTAAACAAATTGCTTTACTCTTTTTTTTAATAAAAAAATTTAAAATTTAAGTTTTTAAATTCTAAGACTTATTAGAATTTTCAAAAAAAAAAATATTCATCTCATTGTAAAAACCAGAAAAAAGTAATTCATTTGAAATAAAAACAAATAATAATAAAATGATTGTTTTAATTAAAGAAATTGATTAATTTTATAATTCTTCCGGTTTACGTTTCCGATATGAGAAGGCTTTTTGTAATAAGTAAAATAAACTTTTCTGAAATGTGCATTTTGATCACACTATTTACCTAGACTCTTGATATTGATTACTTAAGGGTTACCCAACAAATAAATTATCTGATGAATTTCTTTCCCTAAAAATTCCTAAAGGGAAACATTAAGTGAGAAAATAATGTTTTCAACAAAGTTGTGTTTTAAATTATTCAAAATTATTATTAATAATTAATCAAATACATAATAACTAATTTATATATATTTAAATATGACATCTTTTCTATCTGCAACAGTTTGAAGTTCTAAGGTTATTGGACACTGCAGCCAATATGAAAGAAGTTCTTCTGTGTAACCAATTAAAAAATACATTTTCCGTGGAGTAATAGATCTTTTTAATAGAGCTGCTATTCTTATATGATTGTGTTGCCTTTTAATTATAATTTCTGAGCAAACTAAAGCATGAAAAGTTCCAGTTATGAATTTTCGTATAAATATATCTTCAATAGCAGTTTCTGAAGGACGTAAACCGCCCTCAAGCGTTGCTGAAAAAGTATCAAATTTAATAACGCTATAAATTTTTCATAATGAATTTTAAACTTACAGGTATTCCAAGAGTTCCACGACTTTACATGAGCTATAGTATCAGGAGGATTGGCCATTTCATATCTGAAAAAAATAGTTTCCTAGTTTTTTTTTTTAATTTTTGTGAAATATATACGTAAGTGGTCGATCTTTCTTCGGAGTAATTCTGTATCTTCCAGATTGAACCCTCTCTAAAACAGGGGTTATATGAATCCATCTTTTTGTGAAAATAGCTCGAATCTCCGGCATTATCTAAATAAAAGTTTAAGATATTATATCTAATAGCAAAAATTATTTCTGAATACAACTTTTGTTACACTTCCTATCATAGTCATTTTAGATTTATTAATTCCTTTTCAACTACACGAATTTTCTTTTCATAATAGCATAACCAAAAATAAACAAACTAAACTTCACAATTGACAACATTAACATACCAAAAATTGCTGTCAGTCCTGACAACTATTTTTTATCGATTCTCGATTTAGATATTTACTTTTTAGTGGCCAGCCTTTACGCTGGTATAGTGAATTTGATACTCTATATATAAATTTTGTAATCAATGGAGTTCTTATTATTTAAAGATGTATTTATTAAATTCGATGGATAGAGTACAAACGAAATTATATTAAATTCATATTAAGTTTTATAACAATACTTCTCCTGAAATCTAATAACTAACATAAACAAATATTGTACATATTGTAGGAAATTGCAGTGTTTGTTTAAATAAAGAAAAGAAGGAAATTTAACCTTTTGAGTGCACACTTATTTTTTAGAACGTTGAGTGCACACATGTATCACTTTTGTCTCTTATCCCTAAATTTGCCTAAATTTTTGATTTTTTAATATATTTTGTAATAAAAATACGTACAAGTTTCTATATTCCCAAATATCTTTTGCATCCGCTCCTGATAATTGAAAGTAAATTAATTAGATAATTTACAAACAATCTCATTTTTAAAATATTTCTAGACAAAAGTGCAACGTGTGCGCTCTGTTAGTCGTGCTTTGAAGTAATATACTAAATATGACATACCATAAAAAAAGTTCAGTACATATACAAAAAATATAATACATGGCACTTATAATAATGTATTTTGATGATCAAAAATAAGATTTATAAATATGCAATAAAAATTTTATGATTTAAAACCTTTTCCTACAAAACAAAAATGCCCTTCGACAGGAAAACCGCATGATAAATTCGCTAATTTTTAATAGAGCCTTTTAAAAACTAGCATTAAGAATTATATTTTTGAAATAACCAACTTATTCTGGATATCTACTACAACTATTTTATGCTTACAAATTATCATTCAACTAAAATTTAAGCAAGACGATTAAGAAATTATAAATCAATATTTGCGCATTTTCGTTATATAAAATTGCAACTGCAATTATAATACAATGTCAACACAAAGAAATTTTTACGATTAAACAAGAATTTCGATATATATTATTTTGGGCATCCCTATTAAAATTTTAATTTGACTTAAAAAGTTTCAAAATCTTATTTCATTTTGACATTTACCAATACATTTTTTTCAATATGGCCTGTCAGTCATAAGTGAAAAGAAGTAATAGAAATATAGTTAAAAACTTTCATAATTTAAATAATATTCATGGCTAAATTAGCGTTGAAATTTTGTGGGAAACATTATTTAATTATATTTCATATGTAGATAATTTTATAATGAGTAAAATTTAAATCCTTTGATTAATCAGTTAATTTTGGTGGGTAAAGAAAAAATAATTTTCCATAAGTGATACTTGCGCAATATTTTTATTTAAAATTTAATTTATATAAAAAAAATTATTAAAATCTTAATTAAAATAGTAAAAATGTTTTAAAATAGTGCATAAGTTAATTCTTAAAAAACGATGCAGTATATGAAGGCTAGAAAGGAATGAAACACTGACAAAATTTTACTAGGAAGTGCTAATCGATAATTTACTAATGAAATTTTATAACTTAGGGAAATATTTTAAATAATTTTTTTATTTTTGCAAAGCTAAAAGTAATATAAACATGAAGATTTGTGATATAATGTATGTGTGGTTTGATAGAATATAAACTGAAATAGATAAAATTTTTAAAAGAATTTTCGTTATCTAAAATCACGGTGAAGGATACTTAATAAAAGAGGTGGTGATTACCCCCTTGTTTTTCTTTTGTATTTTAATAATTTTTCTGTTAGTCTCAAGTTAGATGTGATTCCGAGATTATAATGACCTTAAATAATGTGTTAATACTAAAGCACTTAATATATGCCTAGCCTAATGGTTATTTTGTTGTTATCCATATTTAAATGCACATACATTTTTATGTTTTTGAAAAAGTGTACACACATATAATATACATTATACAATATGAAGAACACTTATTGAGAATATAATCATTTACTTTTTAAAAGACGAGGGAGAAACGTGGTAATTATCTAATACTTGAGGCAGTATACTCCATAATAAAGAAAATAAAATTCTTTAACTTTTCGCTATAGAAATTTTTGTTTGTGTTAGTGAATTGGAAAGAAAAAGAAAGATAAAAATTCTTTTACTTAAAATTTGATGCACAAAGCAGAAAAAAAAATCAGAAAAAAAATTTCAAATCTTTTATGTAAATTTTAAATAAATTCTTAATAAAGGAGGCAATAAAATATAATTAATGGAGGCAATTATTTCTTCCTATTTAACAGATTTTTATTGAACCAATTATTTCCAATTTGCGCAATTTTATAATCAGTAAACATAATATTATTAAATATTTCACTAAGAGTTAAAAAACAACTTGTAATAGTTTAAACTTCTGTGATGTAACTTGTAACTTCTTAAACTTCTGAAATGTGATTTTGAATTCTTGAATGTGAAATGAATTCTGGAATGTGATTTGTTAAACAGGCATTTGTCTACTTATGTACCTATACTTAGATATTTAAAATATTTAATTTACTTTATACAATAATCAAAAAACTTCATCAACTTATCTTAGCTGAATTTCAATTTACTTTTGGTGCTTTAATGTAATTTTATTCTTCCTTGTTTTGAATCAAATTGCCTTTTCTTTTAGTTTCGTTAAGATATCTAAATTTTTCAATTTTCAATGGTGCAGCAGATTTCAATAAAATAAACCATTAGTGCATAATACAGCATTAAAAATGATGCAGTATTATATTCAATTTCTAAAGAAATTAATAGGAACGTACCTTTTCATGCAAATTTTATTGATGTAAACAAGGATTGACCTCAAACAAAAGACTTTCGTGTCACATGAAAATGTTAAAATACATTCTGTCTAGTTCATTGAATCCAAACTTTTTGTAGTTTAATAGATTTGAAAAAATAATAAATTTCCATCAGGTATCTACCCAATTTTTTTTCTCTTATTTTGTTTTGAAAATTTGAGATGACTCAGAATGCGGTGTAAATAGGAAATATTTAATTCAAAAGGTAGTCTTTTGAATAGAGTATTTTTTTTATTATCTTTCAAAGGGCCTGGAATACATAGCTTTAAAGAATTGAGAGAAAAAAACAAAAAAATAGCTTCACTTACCTAGGGTTGAAAACGAAAAAAAATCGTTTCTATTTATGTGAAGTATCTATCACTAAAAACACACTTGTTTGATTGCTCCTGCATTTGATATAATTATATACATAAAATTCAATTGAATTTTATGTATACAGGGAGGGTAGGGTAATTGTACATGTTCTGAGATTGCTTATTATAAATTAATGGTAAATAATACCCTTGCACTCGAATGCACACATATATGTATGTTAAAAAATGCAGTGTTATTTAAAATGATTTACTGCTATATGAAATAAATTTTTATTTATAGGAAATTTTTATTTCAGGAATGGTGTCTTCCTTTAATATTCGAGTTTTCAAAAAGGATCATCATCAGTTATATCATCATAAAAAATTAAAATGGAACAAGAAATTGGTACTTGGGATTCCGTTTTACTTGAAAATATATCTGAAGACAATTTCATAAGTAATTTACATCAACGCTACAAACGGGATCATATATATGTAAGCCTTGATGGAATTTATTTTTAAAATTATTAAGTATTAAACAAAATTTTAAGACATATATTGGAACATCCCTGGTAGCAATTAATCCTTATCGACAGTTATCACATTACTCTCCTGATATTGTTCATGCTTATGGAAATAAAGGGATTTTTCAACTTTCACCGCACATGTAAATAAAAGTATTGAATAGATAAATTGTATTTTATTTAAAAAAATTTTTTTTTTTAGATTCGGAATAGCAAACTTAGCTTATCAATCATTGACAAATCAAAGCGAAGATCAATGTGTCGTTTTGACAGGCAAGCTTTTATTCAAACCAAAAGTTCAAAATAATTATTCAAAACATTCATTTAAATAGGTGAGAGTGGTTCAGGCAAGACTGAGTCATTCAAAATGATATTGCAGTTCTTGACACAAATTCAAGAAACTAATAGATTGAAAATAAAACACCAAAATTGTGGTAGAAGACGGGGTTCAAGTTCGTGTCCAGCAAATAGTGGTCATAGTGGGCAAACTTCAAGATCTAATTCAAGACCAAATTCCCGATCGAATTCAAGGCCTTCGACACCAAAACCCAATCAATCACCAGTTTTAAGTGACAAATCTGTAAATGTTTTGTTAAAAGCTAGGTCAGAAAGTTCAGATCGTTCTTCAAGCAAGGTAAGTAATTAATACAATAAATTAGAAACATCAATACAATAACTTTTTCGTTTTAATTGCTGAATACCAAATTTTTTTGTAGAGATACTCCAGAGAAAAAATGGTAGATTTCGATTTTTCACATCACAAGAGTTCGGAAAATATATCTACACAATGTGGATCAATTGGTTTATCAAAGCAATATCATCATCCATCTACAACATCAATAGCTACCATGACAACTCCAACAACCACGAACGCCATAGTGCCAAAATCTTGCTTCAAGCATAATCATATTGATTCAATGGGCCGCTCAAAAACTTTAACTACCGTTGATTATTGTTTGAGGAAATCAAGTTGTGATTTATCGAAAAATTCATCATTATTAGCAGTCACAGCCACGCCTGTGAGCAAGTACAATGAAAATGTCATTATTGTTCCAAACAAATCTGTAACTAGTATGAATGCGTGTTGCGCTAAATCATTATTAGGGCAAGAAATTCGTTCAAAATCTTTACCTCACCAACACAATTGCTCAAAAGATAGCGGAAATGTTGTTCATCACGTAAAGTGCTTACGTCAAAAGAGTTTAGAAATAAATGATGACGGTCAAAGCTCAATTTTATCTTCAAATACAAATACAACAACAGCAAGTATACATTGTAGTACAACTTCAATACCGATTACTGTATTGAAGTCAACAATGCGCAATACAATAACTGATTCTCATAATATTGTGCACCGTGGAAGTTGTGTTAATTTATGCCGGCAGCAACAGCAACAGTTATCTTCTTCTGGACATGGATCAATGGGTGATGGTAGTCGGGATGGTAGTAATATTAGAAGTGCCTGTAGTAATTCTCCGTTTGTACATGGGGACCCATACAGACTATCGTCAAGAATATCTTTGATTGATGCTCACAAATTGGGATTGAAATTTGTAGAGCGCGAACAAGCAACGTCTAAAACAAAGGTATCAGGAAATCCAAGTTATATTTATTTACATAAAGATTGGCTGGAAACGAGCAAAGTACAAAAACTACGAGATCGTGTAATAAACGCAACGGTATTTTTAGAAGCTATGGGAAATGCAACAACATCAAAAAATTCCAATTCAAGTCGATATGTGAGTTAATGATAGTAATAAAAGTAGCTTTTTATTTAACATTAAATTATTTTAAAGGGAAAGTTTTTGGATATAGAAATTGATTTTAGAGGAGATCCAATTGGAATCCATATAACACACTGTAAGTAATAGACAGATGAAAAATTTATATCAATCCAATATTTTTTTACTTGATTAATACAACATTTTCAATTTTATTTTAATGCTGCCAGATTTATTAGAAAAGGTATCAAGTTTTGGTGATGAATTTTTCATAAACGCTATAATATTTTGTTTTTGACTTTATTTCGAAAGTATATAATATCAAACTAACTTTTAAAATTTTTTCTTGTTTAAGACTCGAGTAACAAATATTAATAATGGGGAAAGGAATTTTCATATATTCTATCAGTTACTACATGGTGCTGATATACAATTTTTGAGTAAGACTAACATAAATTTATAAAATTGATAAAAAAATAACATAATTTCTTTTTCAAGAATCTTTAAAATTGTATCGGAACATAGAAAAGTATGAACTTTTGAAAAATACTTCAGCAACCGAAGATGATAAAGCCTGTTTTTTATTTTCTAAAGTAATTAAATGTTAAAAATTCTTAACCGAAATTTTATTTACTAAATGGCCCAATATCGTTGCAGAAATCATTGGAAATTATCGGCCTAGCATCGGAAGAAATTATTTCAATATTCCGAGTTTTAGCTGTGGTGTTGAAATTAGGGAATTTCATATTTGTCCCTATTACGAATATTGATGGAACGGAAGGATGTCAGGTTTCAAATGATTATGGTAATATAAAAATGAAATTCGTACCTAAAAATATATTAATAGAATGAATAAAAAATTCTCAATACAGAATTAGAAGAAACAGCCCAGCTTTTGGGTTTGGATGAAAATATATTATTACATTGCCTTACTAGAGCTAATACTCCATGTGCTAGAGGACATGAAGATAACGGTAAATGATCAGTAACTTTTTAATGCAAAATCGTATGCTTGTTTCTAACAAATAAACACCTATTGTTTTTTGTTTTTCCTTATTATTTTAGGTTCAGAATTGGATGCCAGACAGGCGTCATCAATACGTAATACGTTATGCAGATCATTGTATAGCCGATTATTTACTTGGCTAGTTAATCGTATTAATGAGACTTTAAAATCTAATCAGAGAGAAAAAAACTTAGCTTTATTAGATTTTTATGGTTTTGAAATTTTAGAATTAAATTCTTTTGAACAATTTACAATAAACTATTGTATGGAAAAAATACATCAGGTGATTTATCATATCCCTTATTTTTATATTTATCATATTCTTTATTTCCTTCTTAACTTTATATAAATAATTTTAGCATTTTGTTCAAAATGTATTAAAATTGGAGCAAGAGCTCTATATTAGAGAGGGTTTAGAATGGAACAGAATTGATTTCTTTGACAATGAAACAATATGTGAATTAATTGATAAACCTAATTATGGTATTTTGAGCTTGTTAAATGAATCGCACATAAACAATGATGAAGCGTTACTTGTAAGAATACAACAATGTTGTGCCGGGCACCCAAATTTTTTAACATGTGGTCCAACAAAAACATCAATGTCATTCAAGTGAGATATTTGAGAAATATTTTTAACTAAATAAAAACGCTTTCAATGATTTTTTAGAATTCGTCATTTTGGAAATGTTGTAACTTATTCAATTCAAGGATTTTTGGAAAAAAATTCTGATACTCTACCAAAAAATATTAGTGGCGGATTATACCAAAGTAAATTGTCCTTAGTACAAAGTCTTTTTCCAGAAGGTAATTGTTTTTCAATTGGTCTCTTATATATTTTAATATTTTCGTTTTCGTTAATTTTATTTGATTTTTAGGCAATCCCAAACGTTCATCCAAAAAGCCAACCAGTTTAAGTTCAAACTTACGAACTCAGTTACAAACTTTACTGTCTATCGTTAAAAATCGGCGTAACCATTACGTCTTTTGTATAAAACCAAATGAAACCAAGCAACCACGAGTTTTCGATATGGCTTTGGTACAACACCAAGTTCGTTATATGAGCTTGATGCCTCTAGTTAACTTATGTCGTAATGGACATTGCTTTCATTTAACCCACGCTAAATTTTTTAATCGTTATAAACTATTAAATAACTTAACATGGCCGCATTTTATTCATGGGAGTACCATTGAAGGTATAGCGCTGATAATACGAAGCGTACCATTGCCATCAGCTGAATTTACGATTGGGTCGAAGCATGTTTTTGTCCGCAGTCCTAGAACAGTAAGTGCAACTTTTATTGATTATTAAGTAAATTTGCCTCATAACATGTTTGTAACTAGATTTACGAATTGGAAGAGTTCCGTAAAACAAGGTTAGACGATTTAGCTACTCTCATACAAAAGACATTTAGAATGTACGTGAGAAGGAAAAGTTTCAAGAAATTACGTGAAAGTCAAATAATTATTTCAAGTGCCTGGAGAACGTGGAGGGTAAATATGCGGTTTTTAATTTTTGTGATTTATGAGTTTTCATATTTCTTGTATAAGGCGTTAGAATTTCAATTAGAATTTCGTGTGTTTTTGATGCACCTTTTCTAAGCATGTTTTTATTTTATCACTGTTTTCTTTTTTTTTTGTTATTTTATTTTAATTTATAAAATTATCGTATAGGAATGTCGATTTGGTATACCATTTACAGGCAGAAGACACTTATGGAGCCTATACAAAATTGTGAGTCTTAACAGAAAACAAAAATTTGGGTTTGCTAGTTTAAAGTTAATAGTAGTTGTTGTAAAAGCTTGTAATGTTTAATGTTCTTATATAATTTCAAAAGTATGTGTCCTTTATGTTTTAATTTTTTTTGTATTTATTATAGGCTCGTGACGAATATCGAACAATGAAGTATCAGAAACAGTTGGAATGGGCCGTTAAAATAATTTTTGACTACTATCGTAAATGGAGAATACGAAATTATTTTTTAACATTACCGTTACGTCTTCCACCTAATACATTAAGTCCATTATCATTAGAATGGCCATCTGCACCAAAATTTTTATTAGAAACTAGTCGCTTGTTGCGGAGCATATATCACAGATGGCGCTGTTATATATATCGTAGATCATTTGATCAGACATCAAGAAATCGAATGAGGGAGAAAGTCACAGCTAGCATTATATTTAAAGATAGAAAAGCATCATATCCAAGAAGGTTAATTTTTGAAACTCGTATTTTTGCTCAATAACAAAACATTATTTTACAGTGTTGGTCACCCGTTTGTTGGTGATTATGTCCGGCTAAGACATAATTTGCAATGGAAAAAATATTGTATGGAAACCAATGACCAATATGTCGTGTTTGCAGATATTGTAAATAAAATCACACGATCAAATGGCAAAGTATAAAATTTTTTTAATTTTTTAAGCAAATATTTAGTTTCGTTTCTTTTGCATATTTTTAGTTTGTTCCTATATTATTAGTATTGTCAACTTCGTCAATGTTGTTATTAGATCAAAGAACGCTGCAAGTCAAATATCGAGTGCCTGCTGCTGAAATTTATCGGATGTCTTTAAGTCCATATTTGGATGATATTGCTGTTTTTCATGTCAAAGCTGTAAGTATTTCAAAACAATATTATGGCACAATCATATATCGCTTTGATAAATTTATTTAAATTGTTAAAATTTTATTGTTTTTAATGTATTGGTAAGCAAATTTTAGGCTTTTTTTTTGTAATCCTAAACTTTCGAATCTTAAACAAATAAAAATTATTGTTACAAAACTATTCTCTTTAAATCATTTTGCATATCATATTAATAAATAAAGCAATTTTTTACAAATCACATTCTATTCTAATAAGTGTTAATTTTTTATATAAATAAAACATTCGTATTGATTTCTATATTTTCCCTATTCTGTAACTAAATCACCAAAACAACATTTAAATAAAATAAACTAGGATCATTATTGTGCTAGTGATCATCAATGTTCGTCTGATTCACCATCAGGTTGCCTTTTTCAGGTAATCCAAAAAATGAAACTGTAGATTGTAGCAATGTCTCGTTTTTAATTGATTCTGAAAGAAAAACTACATACCTTTTAATTTTAAATGGAATTTAATTACCTTGTAGTGTAAAGTAATTTAGTTTCAAAATACATAAGTAAACTAGTTTAAAATTTTTAAATTTTTATAAATTTAAAATAAACTCCTTTAGATTTTTAATGATGAAATTTTATTTCAGTCGGAACTTGGCCGAAAAAAAGGAGATTTTGTATTTCAAACTGGTCATGTAATTGAAATTGTCACAAAAATGTTTTTAGTTATTCAAAATGCAACAGGGAAACCCCCTGATGTACACATTAGTACAGAGTAAATAACAAAAAAAAAACATTTGAGAAATTTTTTAAAACTTTTGTTTTTTTTTTTCAATTGAAGATTTGAAGCAAATTTTGGACAACAAACTGTCATATTTACATTTAAATATGGCGGCATTTCTGAATTACCCCAAGGACAACCAAAAGTTACGAGGCGTGGGAACCGAATGGAAATTGTTGTTTGATCTTCATTTGATTATTTTTCATGTCATAAGCGCTAATTTTCAATATAACTTTAGTTAAAAAAAATACAACTTAGGAAATTTATATATAGAAGAAAATAAAAAAAAAACAAATAATGAAAAAAAAAAAAACAAATGTACCTAAAGTTAATTGGCCAATTATAAATGAATGAACTGTAAATGCCAAAATTATAATACAAAATTAAAAAGAATTACTTATCTGAAAATTAATTTTTTGATAAAAAATTTTAAAATAATGCAAATGTAAAATAACATAATATTTAAAACTCTAATTTAATAACACAAGCAAAAGAATTTTACTACACAAATATTTTAATTCACATTTTTTTAAATGATCATATGATCATATGGCCGAATAAATTTGGATAATTATCAATTAAAAATTAAAATTCTATAAAAAAATTTAAATTGACAATAATAAAGAGGCATTATTCATATCACAATTAATCAAAATCAATAATTAAATATTTATTATAAAATAAGAAATAAAGTCTCAAATTTGGCAATTAATGAAGAAAGAGTGTAGTCAAAATTGTTGGCACTATATTCCTTCTATTTATCCTTAATAGAATTACCCATTTTTATTTGCAATATAGTTTTTACTGTTGTTTCTTTCCCAATATTTGACAATCATTTCCCCCTTAATAGATAAAATACTTTGTAAAATAAAAACTGCTCAACGTATATCGTATGAAATATTTTTATGAACTAGTATAATACATATATACTTATATATTTATAGGCATGCATATAATATAAAAATAAAATTGTTAATCGAAGAAATTGTTCTACTGAAAATAAAATATTAAAAATAGATACATACATATATTAATTCTATGCAAAGCATTTCAACAGTGTTAGTACGCCAGTTATAAAATGGCGAAAAAATCTCATACTATTAAAACACAGTATTTTAGAAAACTATTATAAATACATCTTAACAAAATGTTAAAAAAGGCTGTCAAAGATCTTTTATTAATTATGTAAGTGAGATTTCTATGTGATAACTGAAATTACCACAGTTGCAAGATCAGAACCGATTGCGATAATAAACTGCTCCTAGAGTAATTGAACTAACTCCAATCGATTTATGAAAAAAATCTTGCACTAAGATTAAATCATCTTGGAAAGGAAAGTTATATAGAAAACTTATTTAGTAAAAATACAAATTTGAATAAAAAATTTATTGGTCATTTATATAATGCTTTTTTTTTTATTAAATAAAAAATTAATTTTTATTTTAATTGAATCTTATCTGTTGGCATTTAAACTAAAAATGAATGTTAAGAAAAAAAATATTGAAAGTTCATGAAGAAGCATTTTTTTCATGAAAAGCTTAAATCATTTATTTTAATCAAAAATAATAAGAGAAGTTTTTTTTTAAATCAATAACCGAAATTTAGGAAAATAATGAAAATTAAATTGTTTTAATTGTTTTTAATTAAATGAAAAAAAAAGACAAATATTTTTGGAAGAATCGAAAAAAAAAGTTTTATAACATATCGGTACTAAAGAAGATGTTTTCCTTTTTAATAAGAAAATATTAATATGTGCAAATCAAAAATATTTTGTAATGTAGTTAACTATGATAATATTATATTATATACGAAAAACTAAAAATGATTTGTAAGCTAAGAATAAAATTAAGCAAAAAAAATTAAATATAATTAAAGAAAATTAGTTTTTAATAACGAAACTTAATTGATTATTTATAATATTTCATTTTATAGAATTAAGCTAGAGTTGGGTTAGATTAACTTGGTTGTTGAAATCAAAAATATTCGAGATGTTAAGAAATTGTTGGACTAATTCGTTTGCTTTTTAAAAATTGTTTACGGGCAACCATATCCATAATATTTTAATGTTAAATTTTTTTTTTAAATTCCTAATTTTCGGTAAACAACTTCATTGTGAATTTTATATTTACTTTTTAAATTAAATTTTTATGATTTAATTTATTGTTATCTAGAGTTTTCTTACCAAATTAATATTAGCCAACTTTTTAACATTTCTTAATGACAACAAATACTGAAAATAAAAACTAAAAACAAAAAAATAATTTTATATTTATGCAAATAAAGAGTTTATGTTTTCAAATTTTCATATTTAAATAAAATACTCATAATGTTGTCGGTTCTTCCATTATAATTTTAGAAGTGTTAATCTTCTTTTTTTTTAATTGTACATCAATAAAAAGTCTTAATTATTTCAGGGAATTGAAACAAAATATTTCAATTTTTATTCTTAAAAATTTTTTTATAATTTTAAAGAAATAACGTTAGTGGTTTCAAAGCTAATATTAATATCTTATGTGCCATTGTTCAGAATAGCGTGTAAGTTAACATTCATATATACGTTAATAAGAACATTCATAATATATAAATTAGATAACATTTTTTAGCACTAAGTAAAACAAAAAAATTATTACATTAAATTTCTATTTCATTTTGCACAATATTGAAAATTCTTTTGTTTTCGTTTGAAACTTGTCTTTAACATAAGTACATACATAAAATGTAAATGGTATTTGCAATGTGTTTTTAATATTCAGGCGCCGCATTTATTAAAATTATTAATTATTATAGCATATCATCCACAAAATACCATTTCAAAAGTTGACTTTAAATTTTCATCTAAACTGCTACAATCTAAACTACTTTTAAGAATTTCATATTACAAATTTTTAAGCGGAAGCCCTACTAAAAAATGTTTTTTTTTTCACTAAAATAATATATTGTTCTTGAAATTTTAAATTGAGTATAGTGTGCAACATTAAATAATATTAATTTGAATATGGTTTAGATTTTTTTATCCTCAATTAATAATTAAAATCAAATAATTGTTTAATTTTTATTGTTTTTATTGTTACAATACAAGTTTTAAATTGAAAGTTTTTGAACATTTGGAAGCCGCAAATATATACTATACTATACTACTGAGAATTTTAAATAAAATTTTTACCAACAAAATATTCCACCAGTATTAATTTATTTATTAAAATTAGTATTCTAAAATCAAATGAAATTATGTTTTGTCATTGTAATTAGTATTTTGTTATTTGAAAAGTTTTGCACTTAAAAAAAAAAAACAGTGGCCTGTACAAAAAAAAAAGGAAACTATTAATAAATATTCCCTTCCTGATAAGGCAAAATATTCTATTGCAATGCTATTAACTCTTAGATAATAAGTAAAATTAAAATTAAAAAAAAAAAAAATATATCGTTGCACTTTAAAGAATTTTTAAAATAGCTATAAGATCTTATAAAATATATTATATATATCATATATGTATAATTATGCTGATATAAAAATTTTATATACATATATACATATATATGCATATAATTCAATAAAATCAATTTATGTACATATATATATTATATAAATATATATCAGAAAATTAAGAAATATTTATTTAAACTCAAAAACAATTTTCATATTCTTTTAACTCCTAAACAAATAAATTAAATTGTTCTAAGAATAAGGTCTTAATTAACCAAAACTTGGAGTTAAATAATAATAAAAAAAAAAGTAGTACAAAAAATTATTAAAAAAAATATAGTTGGAGCCTTTTCAGTTTCTATGTCCATTTATCTAATAAATTTGATCTATTTATATTTAGCTAAATATATTTTGTGCTATAGGTACAACGAATTGTATAATTTTTAAATATAATCGAGTTTTATTTAAAATTAATATTTTTTAATTGAAATATCTTTTTATTTATAAAAACACTTAAATATAATAAGCGTAAGAGGGTCATCTGTGTTATTCAAAATCATGATTTTTCATATGACTAATTTTTTTTTTTTGAAGATTTTTATATAAAAAATTATTTTCTTTTTAATTTTTACGATTTTTAAAAGATGTAGATTGTTCTAGAATAATATGAGTTTTATTAGAGGTTTTTGAAAAAATATTTATGTCTACATAAGGTTTTCTCTTTAATTAAGTAATTAAATCTAAACGATTGAATGGGATTTAATTAAGAAGGTTACTAATGAAAATAATTTTTTTAAATTAAAAATCTAAATTTTGAGGAATTTTAATATCTTGGAATCAGAAAAATTTTAGTTATTAAATTTTTTTTTAGTAAGTAATTTTAGAGTTAATTTTAGAGATATTGCAGAAAGAAATTATTTATACTTAAATTTTTCAAATTGAAATCAGAAATGAAAAATTTTTAAATGGACATGGAAAAATTAAGCACAAAGGGCCTTAAATATTTATACCGTAACATAAGTAATATTTAATTACTTATTAATATTTATACCATATTAAAAGCTTTGGTTTATTCAAAACTTCACAAAACAAAAAAAAAAAAACGAAACAATAAATTTTAATAAGAAAGTTACACTCTAAATTTCAATTAGTAAAATTATATATTTATAAAAAAAAAAAAAAGTAATTTAATTAACAAAATATCTTAAATACAATTTAATAAATTTTTATTTAAAGTAACACACTGCCATCAGAAAAAAGAAAACTTATAAAATATGAAAAGAGAATAAAATTATTGAATAATTGTAATTGAATTAAAAAAAGACAAAAAAAAATATATATAAAACAATATAGGCATTCAATATTTATAATATGGAAAAAAAAAATTTAGTAAAATTTTTAATTTGAAAAATTTTAAGATAAAAAAAATATTTATTATTGTTAGTACAGATCAAATGAAAATGAAAAAAAAAATTTAAAAATGTTATAAAATATGCATATGATCATTATTTTTAAAATAAAATTATATTATTATATTTATACATACAATATTAAATAATTATATAAAATATATATATATATATGTTATTATAAATAAAATAATAAATTAAAATATAAAGAAATCTATGTATACAACATTAATGAGTAATGTACAATATTTAGATAAATTTTATGAAAATTTTCAATGAAAAATAATGGTACTTTAAAACAAATATATATATATATATATTTAGTAAATACATAAATGCAAAAGAAAAATAAATAAATAAATAAAACATAAAAAGAAAGTATTTGTTTAGAAATAAAACCCGTAAAAGAAGAGAAAAAAAAAAAAAACAATTATATAGACCAAAAAATTCGTTGTAAAGCATTTATTGAAAAAAAAAAGTCAATATTTGTAGAGATTATAAAAATAATAGAAATAATAATCAAGAAAAAAATATTTTAATAGTGCTATATAAAAGTATATGTGAAATTTATACGTATAGTTCAAATATTGAAATCAGTTCCCTTGCCTCAATAAATTATCGTTTTAAATCCTAAAAAATTCACTAATTCTTTAATTTACCAAATTGTTACGAATTTGAGTACTTCCGACAATATTAAAATTATTTGTATGCAAGCTTAAATTTTGATTTTGATATCAAAATCAAAATATCCAAAAAATTTGAGATTTTAAATCAGAAATCATCCAAAATTTGTTAGGAAAATCTAACAAAAGATGTTCAAATTTCTTTTTTTTAAATCTATAGGGCCGTATTAATAAAAATTAGATAATTAGAACCAACACGATTCATCATTTTTTTTTTTTATTATTTTTTCTTTTTTAGAAAATAGTCTAATTAAAATTAGATAATTTAATTATAAATTAGAATTTATCTGCCATAAATATTAAAAATCAATATTCTAACCGATGAATTACTCAGAATATTGGAATTTTATTCAAAACAATATTAGTGTTTTAAATATAGAATCTCGAATTTAAAATAGATTTTATTTTGAAAATTTTTAAATGATTTCTTATCACTCCAAGTAATGAACTTGAGAAAATATATTTAGAAACTTTAATTTAAAACATTTGATGTTTATATATGTCATGTCTTAAACAATAAATGAATCTTTCATGTATTCATGACATTCACATTAAATGGTTTCAAAAAAAAAAAAAATTTAAAAATTTAACAAAAAAAGCAAGTTGATTACAAACTGATAAATGGCTTAATAACATTGGTATTGAAAATGGACTTATTTAGGCTTTATACTTCATTAAAATAAAGTGTTTATAACCTTCGCACATCATGCAAACCTCAATTACATAATATTCTATTTTGTTAAAAATTCACATATACAAAATTCAAAATACTAATGATTAAAGTTGGTAGAAGATTTACATGTTAAGAAAAATTATATAAGAATATTGAAAAATTTATTTATTTAAATGTAATATATATATATATAAAAGAAGCAATTGATATAAGTTTTCGTTATAATTCATTCATAATAAAAGATAGAATAAAGAAAAACAAAAAAACAAAATAGAAACAACACATTTAAAAATGAATTAAAAAAAAAATATTTTTAGAAACCTAATGAGATTTTTCAAAAATTTCGAAAAATTTGATAAAGTTAAGTATAAAATTATATAAAATATATTTAACTAAATTGAAAGAATCATAAATTATAAATATGTATATTATGTATTGTATATAATTATATATTTATTAGTACTATATACATATTCCATAAATAGAAATATATATATGTATACACATATGAATGGAATTAGTAATTCGTATTTTTAAAAATAAATAAAAGAATTAAAAAAAAAAATGATTTTTTTCATTAAAAATATTATTATTTTCAGTAATAATTGAAGCATAAGCATAAGTGCAAAGTTCACAAGAAGAACAAATTACATATTTGGATTTTATGCAATATTAATTTATTCATAAATTTAACTATAATTTTATTTCTATTTTTAATTCATACTATTACTTTAGAAATTATATGTTATGTACTTCTTGTCGTGGGCCAGGATGGAAAAGACTTATGTATAATATTTCTGTAGAGTAAAATTTTTAATATATTATTTTTAATAAAAAATATAAGTAATTGGTATCCTGAATCATAAAGTCATTATGAAAAATAAATAGAAAATTTCTATAATCTAGAATAAATAGAAAATTTCTATATCTCAGTCTTTGGTTTATAGTCAATCCTGTGGAATTATTAAATCTTTCCATAATAAAACGAATGAATATATTCATACATTTAAATATCAATCGATTTTTCAAGTTTTTGCATAGTTAATAGGAATAAAACTGGAAATCATTAATATTTAAGAAAAAAAAAAACAGAAATCTAATTTTTACATAATCATTTTATTGAGATATATATCACAAATACAATGTTAAATAAAAATTTTCACAAATTGAATTTAATAAAAAACAAAAAAATCAAAACTTTTCTTCGTTTATTTTAAATTTTATTTGTTTCTTTTAAACGTAATAAAAAAATTATGCACAAAAAGAAATATTCACGTAAAATTACATATTAAATTAATTACAACAAACTAATTATAATTATGTTAAAAGATTTTCAAATATAAATTTTATTAAATTCAATTCAAATTTCAAAGGGAAAATCAAATTATATTAACAGTATTTTATTAATTAATATTTATTTTAATTTATTATGCTTATTGTTAACACGATCAAATCAAAATATAATCCATAAATACAAAATTATAATAATTAAATCAGTCATAAGTCATTTATTAATCTTAAATTATGCTTAAATATCTGGTGTTTGTGTAATGGTAACTATTGCTTTACTGAATTTTTTTGAAAGCGATTTTCATAAACTATAAAAAAACAAAACAAGAAAAAAAAAATATTTAAAATTTGCAATTTAGTGTATTTGCGCAAAATATTTTTTTAACAGTAATAATCATTCAATATAATTTAATTGATTTTTTTTTTTTTTTCATTTTTATTTAATTCATTTATATTTGTAGATTATGAAATTGAAACTATACCTAATGCATTTTAATATTCTTCCCAAAAATTTTTTAAATCCATAAAGGTTAAATACTTTATTTACTTTAATTGTTAATTTTAATAATAAACAATTTTTTTTTTTATTTTTTAGTAATTTCTCGTTTCTTCATTTATGAATTGTATGCAGAGAAGACTAGATAGTATATTTATATTTTGAGAGTAAATATAATTAAAGAATTTTTTAATAAGATTAATATTATTGTTTGACCAAAAAAAAAAAAAAAATTATTTACTAACTAATTATGATCTATTAATAATATTGTTCATTATACTAAATAAACTTAATCATTGAATAATTAATTATTTTAATATTTCATACATTCCTGTGATATCATTTGTTTTATTGAAAAACTTAAATTATGAAGTACGATTTTGGAAGCTTAAAATATTGTGGTAACCTTTTCATTTCTACATATTTCTATAATTTGAATTTTAAATCAAACATTACATTTATTGAATATGGATATTTAAATAAAATTTATTTTAAAAAAGAAAAATTTAAATTTATCTTGTTATTTTATTAAGTGCCCGAAAATCTGAAATAATGAATGATTTAGTAAGAAATTCAATGTTAATTAAAAAGTAACAAAAGTAAATCATTTTAATGAATTTGTATTACATTAAAAATAAAAAACTAAATCAAAATTTGTTGAAATTTCAAATTTACATACATATTATGTATGCATGTGTGTTAAAATATAATCCTTTGTTTTTTTTTTCATGCAAAAATTTTAAATATATTTAATAAAAGTATTTTAAATTTGAATTTTTTTAAATTTTTGAGAGAAATTTTTCTTCTAATTAAATAAATAATCTATTTTGCAACTAGGCAAAATAGACTTATTCAATTTTAGTATAAGTAAATTGTGGTATTAATTTCGTTTTACTATTTCTAATTTTTCTTTTCAATTTTTTTTTTTTTTTAAAGTACGGATAGACTGTGTTCACTAGGCTAGAACAATGTTATTTAGTTTGTTGAAACCAATAACAGTTCTGAAAAAAATTCTCTTAAAAAGATTTACGGGCACATAATAGAATAAATGAATGAGTAAATGTTAAAAAGGACACAAAAGATTTTAGAATGAAATTTAAATTTGCTTTCATATGCTTTTAAAATATTAATTAATTATTTTTATGATTTATTAATCATTTAAAAGCATATTCAAGCCATTTTGCTTAATCAAACAAGTTGTAAATGCACTTATTATTTAAAATAATATTTCAGTGGAAAATTAAACATTTTTCGTATTACATTTTAACTTTGAATTAAGAGATAATTTAAAAATCCATATCAAAACTGTCTTAGAAAATCTTTTTTTTTTTTTTTTTATTTCCATATAATAGAAGACATCAACCAATTGCCTTCGTTCTAAAATTCATCTGAATATTATTTAAGGATCATTCGCATATACCAAGTACACATTCGAAAAGCTTACCCAAATAATGGTAATGGATTCTATATTTAGTATTTATTATTCTTCTAAAATGAATTTTCTAAAATCTAGTACCTAATTTAATATAAGTTAAGAGATTTTATATTTTTTTCTATATTTTACAAATGCTATATTATAATATATCTTTTACTTTTAAATTAAAATTTTTGTTTAAACTTTATGTGAAATTTTTGTTGCAACTAATTTTTTATTAGCTCCACTACCAGTTCCAATAGAAGGAGAATTATCAAATGTTGAACTCCGTATTAATTTTCCTGGTTGTTGAATGGAGCCTGATGGTGGTTTCCTAACACCAGTACTATTTTGTGCTTTATGTTGTAAATCTTGAGTAGATGCCTTAGTGCTAGAGTTAACATTTTGTTTTGCTTGAGCACTGTTTTTTTTACTTTCTTCAACTCGTTTCCAAATACCAGCTATACGGCTACCAATTTGACTAATTTTATTGGTTCCAGGTGTTAAATTTGAATTTGACCTAGATGGTGGTTGTGTTGCTGGAATATCTGTTCGCAAGCCACTGACAGACGGAGCTGGTCGCAAAGATGCATTGCTATTAGAACGTTGCGGTACTGTTGGCACACTTGGACATTTTCGAACCCCTATTAGACTATTTTTGCGTTGTTGTGTTGTTGTCGCTTCTTTGGATGTTGTGATAGATAATCGACTTGAAGAAGCAGCTCCAATTTTATTTGATTTTGCGTTTATTAAAATATTTGCGGATGTTGTGCTAGAGCTCTTCTGTACCATTGGACGAGCCTTATTTGTCGTTGAAACAACTTTGTTTGGTGATTTAGGAATATTGGATGGCTTAGTATTAGAACAATTCGTAATAGTTTTTGAATCATTTAGTGTCGATCTAGTTTTTATTGGAGATGTAGGCAAAGAGCCTACAATCGGGACCGTTTCGTTGCAAGGTTCATCTTTTACAAAAGTACCTTGGCGTTCCAAAGGCATGGAGGTGGCTGACCCACTTTCGCCTATATTGGAAGCTTCTTTTGTTGCCGCATTTTTTATTTGTTTGGTAAGATTCAACTTCTTGTTAAAAATATTTTTTTCCGCCACCATTTTTTTATTAACTTGTCCAGAACTTGTAAAACCTGGTTTCGTTAAGCCTATAGTTAAAATAAAAAGGTTACAAAATTAAAGTTTTTGTTTTAATAAAACGTTAAAAGTTTTTAAAATTCAAATATTTCAAGCAGTTCTCCTAATATTTATAATACCTACCTGTTTTTATTGCATTTATTTTGTTTGTTAGGTTAGCTTTATTCAACAATATGTGAGTTTTCGCTACGATTGTTGTTGTTTTTGGATTGTGTTTTGCTACCGCAATATTTTTTTTAATGTCAGGAATTTTTGATGCTAAGTTAGCGCGAACAATAGTGTTTCCAATTTGAGATTTTGGAGAAGTAGTTCTTGTGCTAGATGTACTATTTGCAGCTGACAAAACTGATTTTTTGTAAGGGGAGACATAGGCAGGTTTTTTTCTACCTCTGATTGCTTTAGGTTGAGATGCTGTCTCAGGTGGGGTAGATGGATCTTCACTAAAATTTAAATCTGTACCAGAATCTTTATCTCCTGGTTTAACTATGTGCGCTTTAATAAGGGTTGGATTTGAAACTTGTGACTTGCGTTTGGGAGATAATTCATCCTCCTCATCTGTTGTTTGGTTTGGATTTCCATTTTTCTTTTGATCGCAACATGATTCTGTTTCAGAGTTTTGATCGAATTCCATACTGTTATAATCACTTTCGGCAGTTAATGTCCCTATCGTAGAAGGTGTTATCGTACGAGTTTCATCTTCCAACATTCGCATTCGTAAATATGCATTCTTAATTGGTATTGCAGATCGTTGACTTAAAGTTGTAAAATTAGTATCAATACTTTCAGGTTGAGTAATAAATTTGAATTGTTTCGTTAAAGCTCTTATTGAAGACATTTCTTCAGAATCATCTTCTGTTGACGTAAGACTCTCAAATTCATTTGTTCTTCCCACCTAAAATTTTATGAATCATTTAATTTGAAGAAAGTTGCTGAACCAAAAGTTAAACTTACTACTTCATTACTGGCGACAATACTTGTTGTATACGTTATCGTCCGGGTTTTAAATCTATCTGGATCTAAATTTCTACGTTTTTTATTAATGGATGGACTCCTTTCGGCAGGCGATTGTTCTGGAGATGACACACTATTATTGAACCCTTCTTCTCTTCTAATATTTTGTGGTAATATGCTATCTTTCACTAATTGACCGTTTTTATCGACTGAGGAAATTTTATGATCTTGCCCATCTTCAATCTCTATTTGAAGTATTTCTTCTGTAGCCAATTCATTGTGAAAGGCTTCTTTTTTTGTATCGGGATCTTCTTGAAAGTTTTCCTTAAGAACGAAATCTGCGGCAACGGTATATGTTTTGAATCTATCTTTTACCATTTTACGTTTTTGCTTTGGGGTAAGCATTCGCTTTACACCACTATCTGCGAACAAATGTTAAAATTAAAAAAATTCATTCAATAATATACAGAATGGAAAATTCATTCATAGGTATGATATTAATTAAAACTCACTGTTTTGGTGATTTCGCAAACCTTTTCTTGGAGTAGATTCCACTGAACTAAAATCTGACGGAATGGGTGTCCCCAAAGTAGAGTCATCATTTGAATCCGTAGGCAAACCGTCCATACAGCTTTGTAAAGTTGTTGTTTGTTCATCTCCATCACTAACCGCTGTTTCATAATTTGTAATATTCGTACCAAGACTATTATCAACAATTTCGGAAGTGATACTAGCTACGCTGATCATTGAATCCAAAAGTTCATCCATCAACGATGGTGGTTTTACATTGTCCAAATTATAACTGGAGTTTACACTTTCTAAACTTCCGCTATGTCCATTACTAAGGTGAGTACTGCAACCCAAAGCCCGCCGAGCCATTAAACCAGCAGGTAATGATTTTTTCCGCAATCTTGATAACTGAGGACTTTGTGGAATTTGAAGTTGTTGAGTATTCCCATTTTGGGCAGTCACTTCATAGCAACCAGACATACTTAAAGATTCCATACATGACGGCGGTCTTATGTTTTCTAGATCTAAACTTGTTGCGCTGTCAGTCATCATATTTCTCATTAGGTTATTTGCTAATTTTGTTGCCTCCATAGCAATAATTGTCGAATTTGTCATCGTTGATGATGTATCCAAGGACATGGGGCCTGAAACACTAAGGTGATTCATTCGCGAAAAGGTCATTTGAGGTAATTTCACTTCACCCCCAACGATAAATTGAATGCCATTTGAAATGCTATCATTGTCGTTTATTTGAATAGTTTTATTACCTAGAGTATATTTGTATTATAGTGAAAAATTTTATAATTTATTTTATTAAGTACCTTCATCAGATTCAGCAACTAAGGTGTATGTCTCCGCATCAATAGAATTAGGTTGTGAGTTATCTTGAAGCAGTTTTTGATTGTTATGCTCGTAATAATTGAGTGAATTAAAATCATTATGCGGTGCAAACTCATTCGTTGGTGTTTTTTCAAAAATTTCGTTAATTTCTTCAACAGGTTTTATCAATATGTTGCCATCACTAACCGTAGTTTCATCCTCGTTCATAGAAGATATTATAGGTGCTGTAATACTTACACTAGGAAATGAAACGTCATTGGGGCATGTGTTCTCGTTCCACGTATTATTATTGGAATTGGAATTACTTTCAGATTTTGTTTTCTTATCATCTAAGAGACTTATAGGAACACTATCAAAATCTACACAATCTGGGTTATTTCTTAAGTACTCCGCAGTAGCTACTAGCTCTTGCGTCAATCTCTCAACAGATTTCAACATAAGATCAGGATCCTTGTGCTTATCTTGAATTATATTGTTTGTTGAAACAGATTCATCATATATAGAATTATTTGGACTTTCATTAATTTTATCAATTAAAAATTCATTTGAAATTTCCATATCAAATGGTTCACCCACGTTAACAGAGTTTTCAACTGAATCAACAATGCTCAATTTTAAAGCTGGAAATTCGTTTGACTGTTCCAGAATATTAATATCAGTGGAAGATATCATACTTTTGTTGAAACCTTGAATTTTTTGATCAAAGTTATTAAACCCAGTTATTGTGCTTTCCACGATGTGAGTATTTTTCTGATGATTGTCGTTGGAAATGTTGTTGTAGTCTGTTAGCTGATACTGATCTTGCTGCTGGATGAATTGTGATATGTGTGGTATTGTTGGTGACAGTGATCGATTGTGTGGTGTTGGTGATGTTGCTGCTGTTGTTACAATTGGAGTTACTGTTTGAAGGCCCTGTGGAGTTGACATTGCTGCAGGAGTTGAGGCTGGACTTCTTACTTCTGTGCTTGTGCCTTCGGGAGATTCTCTCACTTCGTGATACTGAAGCTGATAGCTGTTGAGTAATTGTGGATGCTGATGTGCTACTACGTCTGGAGCTGTGGAGGTGGCACTTTTGAATATAGTATTGTTTTTGTCCAGTTGTTGGTGATTCTGATGTTGTTCCAACACAACCACAGACGTAGTCTCCCCGTTTTTTGATTGTTGATTTTGCTGGTGTTGTTGTGTTAATAATTGCTGCTGAACTGCAGCAGTTAATAGGACGTCTATTGCACTCTGGTGCTGCCTTCCTGGTGGTTGAGAACTTAAATTATTTGCACTACTACCAGTAACTAAACGTTGGCTAAGCTCGATAGGATTGATAATTTGACGAACATGACGTGTTGGGAGCTTAATTACGCCATGCATGTTTTGGTTAGGTTTTGATTGTGGTGCTACTGAAGCTTTGCTTGTCATTCCTGTCGTAATACATTCTTTCAAAAGCTGTTCATCTTTTCTTTCTCTCTCTCGCTGTCTTTCTCTATCCATCTGCAAAGGTGTTTTTTGAATATTCGATAGGGTGGGCAATTGAGATCGTTTAGGTGAAGTTGGCACAGTATTAATAGCTAAAGTTTGATTTATTTTTGAGCGTTCTTTTTTATTTTTAATCGATTTATTCATTCCAGATTGAATACATTGTTCAAATAACGACTTTGCTTGATTGTCGTTTGAATCACTTGAATCTACTGAACTTAATGAATCCGTTGGCTCAAAATGAGCAGTTTGGTTACTAATTACGCTTCTAGGTATAGGTTGTGGTTGAGTTACATTTCCTGATTGCTTATGTTGCCCCAAATTAGATTTTGGCCGGTTGTATCCAGCAGCGATTGCCTATGGCGAAAACAAAAAGAAATTAATTCCTCTATAACTATTAATAAATGAGAATTTTGTTTACCTGACTTAGTAAGTTAGAATCATCCTCTGATTCAATAGATATCGAACTTAAAGAGTCGTCGGCGATGCTTTTTTTGTCGTTGGTAACTCTGCCTGGCTCTGTAGAAGTAACTTCTTTTTTGAAGTTTGGGTTAGGAGCATCAAGTCTAAATAATAATATTGGAATTACAAATTATTTCAAATTATTTTAAAATAGTAATACTTTGCAGCATTAGCAGGTCCGGCTTTTCCACTTCCAACTGTTAAATTTGATAAACCAGAAATAACAGAGAAATTACAAGGACTATCTTCGACAAGAAATTTATTCATTTCATCCTTTGACGGTATATACGGAGGTAAGCCGCCACGTCGTAACATTCCAATAGGGTCACCAGAATTAATTCTTGCGATAACTGATGGTGAAATATTTACGTTTTGCTCAGGTTTCATAATTTTATTATTCTTATCGATAGCGGGTGCATTTGATTTTTGCATACCTTCCCGAATACATTGTTGAAATAGATCCATACAGTCATCAGAAGCATTAGAACTTATATCTGACATATGCACTATTTCATCTTTATTGTTCTGCAACGATCGTACCGAAGTACTTGAGCTGTTATCAGCTTTCGATGCCGTGGATAAAATATTTTCAATGGACGAAGATCGAATTACATCTTTGATTGGTACGGCAGATGAAATCTCATTTTGAACCTTTGACTTTGAAGCTGTCATACTTCTATTCATGCCGCTGTTAATGGCTGCAGCAAGCAAGTCGTCATCGTTAGCGGCTTCATCCTCATTTTCAGAAATATTAATGCTTTCTCTTTTACTTCCATAAGACTTTGGCGATGATTTGATTATTTCAGGATTTTCCGAACTGGGGGTATTTTCTTTTGGAGAATTCACCATTAATAATAATTCTTTATTTAAACTATCAGTAGTAATTTTTGGTTCATCATCTAAACTTAAATTACTCAAACTAGTTGCACATGAAAATTGAGCAGGAGTATTTTCAACTTGAAATGTGCTAAGACCATCCTCAAAAACGCTTCTCAACGGTTGTAAAGAATCTTGTCTTGGCACATTTTGACGTTCATTTTCATCATTTGCATCGGGTTTGTTAGAAGGAAATTGAACAGGATTGCTAAGCCGTCTTGGAGATTGTGGCATACTTTGAGTTGGGGAATCTGGTAAATCCGAAGGAGAAATCACACCGCTTGCTAAACGACTAAAGTCACTAACTACAGAGCTCTTGTCGTCTGGAATCATTGGTTCAGTTTCTTCTTCTACCAGTGAATCCATGGAACTACGGCGACTAAACATTAAAGGAGTTTCTTGAGCAGAATTAATTAAATTGTTCGCCTTAGAGACATTTCCTGGCGCATCTAAGATTTGTACCTGTGTAGCCTTTGGTGATTGAGTATTAGATACAGGCACAGATGTGGGCTTTGGTTTAGTAAATTTAGGGGGTGTGGAAGGATGATTTGTATCAAGTTTTTTCATATTTTTAACAAGAATAGATTCGTCTTGTTCTGTTTTTGATTTATCATATTGAGTTGTTGTATTTGTTGGGCCGTTAGTCTGTGCAGGTGATTCTTCCAAACTGCTGGAAGATTCGTACCTACTAAAATACCCAGGAGTTCCTTCTTCGCAGTAGTTGATAGGTTTTTCTGGTGTGTAAGAACCAGATCCATAAACTGTTGGATTTGCATTGTGTTCTTTTGGCGCTTGAACCGAAATTTTCTTGGATCTCGTTGAGGAGACTGGAACATTTTCATCTGGTTTAGTATTTCTTAAATCGGTAATCGAAGCTGCATTCGAAATTACATAAGGAGTGTCTTCAGTCTGATAACATTTCACAGAATCTTCTAGTATTAAAATAATTTCATTACTGTTTACAGGATTTGCTTGAGGTTTATTATTTATTTCTTCATCAGATTCTGCCTGGTTTTCAGCATATCTTAAACTAAAATCTGTTGGTTGATCCAAATCAGTTTCTTGATAAGTAGAATAATTGGTTTCATTTTTTTGAACCTTCTGAAGATTTTCTGAATTTTCGGGTACGTCTGAATTTGAACTATTATGACTAATATTTTCATTATACTTAGCACTATAGTCAATAGGCGCTTCATCCACAAATACTGAGTTTTTTACTGGTCTTGGCATGTTAAAAGCATTTAATGACTTTGCATTCACCGCCGTATTATATTCAGCTTGAGACCGTAAACTGTTTGTATTTGTGCTTTGTGGTGGAGCTGAGCTACCTCGGCGCAATTTTTCATATATTGAATCAGACTTAGCAGACATAAGCGAATCTCTAGATTCACTTTTTGAAACCACCGCAGATCGTGTTAATCTTACAACTGGATGTTTTCCTGTTACAGATTGATCATCCAAAAAATCTTTTTTCTCTTTTGGAGGGGTTACAACATCAATATTTTCACACGTTTCCGCTAAATTTGGATTTAATTCGCTTTCCAAAGCTTTTTGTTTTCTAACATTTAATGTAGGCAATTCCTTTAATCCCATGGATTTAGCTATTGGATCTAAAGAATTATGGTTTAAAATTCCTGGTCTGAAATTTAATAGATTTTTTAAAGCAGCAGAGCTTCCCTCTGCTATCATTTTGTGTTTTGAGTTAATTAACGACCTCAACATTGGAACTGCTCCGTTATCCCATAAAAATTTCTGATCTTCAGGACATCTTGCCGATAAATTCCACAAAGTTCCACACGCATTACTTACGACTGTCAAACTTTCTGACTTCAGTTGTTGCAGAAGGATTCCTAGACAATTTCTTTGCCTTAAAATTCGACGATAGTCTTCACGCACGGCTATATGACTAGAAACATTTCTCAAAATTCCACCCGCATTTTCTATTATTTTCAAAGTTTTACTTGGCCCTTCGTAAGTTAACATATCAACCAAAAAAGCTAAAGCTCCATCAACTGAACAAAATTCAGCTTTGTTATTGCTGCAATGGGCAGACAAATTCCATAAAGCTGATAATATAGCTTTTAAAGTATTTTCGTTTTTATTTTTCATTGCAGCTTTAGCTAAAGCTGTAACAGTTCCAATTTCATTTAAAACTGATTTCATATTATTATCTGCACGCCAGGATAAATTTCTAAGAACACTGGCTGTAACTTGTAATAAATCGTCTGGGGCGGTATCCAATTGCGCCACCAACGCTTCCATAAAATCTTTGTTTGCACACAATAACGCTTTATTATTACCATCTCCAAAGGTTAAATTTGTTAAGGCCATCAAAGCATAACGGCGCAAAGAATTACAGCACTGATCTTCGGGTTTGGGTCCATGTGCAGCATGATCTAAATGTACCAAACTAGCAATCGCTTGTAATGCACCCAATTGGCACATGGCGTGGCGGTGCTCTTCATCAAAACTAACTTTCATTAAACTTGATATAGCCGCCAATGGATGACGATCAGAGTCATCGGCGATAGTTTCTCCGCCACTTTGCAATAATGTTTTTAGGAAAGCACAGTAATCCATTATTTGTTCAATTAAACGCAAAACTTTAGCTTCTCGTCGTCCAGCCTTATCATCTGGATGACAATGAACAACATTATGTAGTGCCATTGCTGAACGTTTGCGTACTCCTTCATCAGAATCTGAGTGCATCATTTGAACTAATAAAGGTATGCAACCTGATCTTCTTAATGTGGCACTTGTTTCTGGTGTACGAGATAAATCAAAAAACTTTTTAGACATTTCTACGGAATCGTGATTACCAAGCATAGATAATAATGAATAAACACATTCTACTTTGGGTCCTAAACTTTTTTGGATGCTGTCATTTGGCATACTAGAATAGTTAAATGATTCCACTGTATTTTTTAAGTCCATTGTAGGCCAAGTGCTGTGATTTACTTGTTGATCTAGTATCAAATCACTTTCAATAAATCTTGAAAGTGAATAACTAGGCTCTTTAATCCTTCGACCAGATGTTGAATTTGATTCCCTTTCCAAGGAATGCTTTCGTTCGTAACGGGCACATGTGCTCTGCAAGAAAAATAATTATTATATATGAATATAACAAAAGCATTAAGTTAATAACAGATACCTGTATGTGTTGAATATTTTCATACTCATTCTGTCTTTCAAAATTTCTATCCAAACTCCTATGCTCGCGTTGAAAATCCCTGTCAAATGGCAACATATAATCCGGGGGTATTGGATTTTCATCCAGAAAATGTTTTTTCTTCGGTTTATTTTCTTGTGTTACTCTAATGCTATTTTTATCTGTATCAACATTTTGATGAGATGTTATTGCAGATGTTGTCAAATCACGTTTAGTATAACCGCTAGCAGCTAATTCATAATCGCTAATTTCACCATCTTTTTCAAATTTTTTGTCAACTTTTACTGATTCACCTGGATAATCGATTTCGTTTTGAGATTCATTGTTTTCGATATTTCCAACGGTTGATGTTGTAGGAATCGCATTTTGATTATTTGAATTCATTTGTTTCTGGTGCTTAAAATTTTGTACTCCCCTTGATTCATGTGATTTTTGTTTTAATAATGGTACACGACCAGTGGCTGTGACTGTTGTTGTTATATTAATTTTTCCAGATTGTTGTGTTAAATTATTAACAGGTACTGATAAGTCTATGTCATTTTCAAAACCTGGTGGCGGCACAGCATCATAATCAAGAAAATGAGGTTTTTTTGGTGCAACAACTTCATCAATATCTACTAATTCATGGTCAATACATAAATCGTCAAGATCTTCACTTGATGATGAATTAACTGAATGGTGTGAATCAGATGATTGTCTACGAATATCACTGATATTCGTAGTTCTACTACGTACTGTTTGTTGTATATTCAAATTCTCAGAATTTGTTCTACTCACGTCCATAATATAGGAGCAAAAATTGTATTTTAAAACTAGCCTTATTTAATTTTAATATTTTTAATTTTAGTTTTTGGAAGTTATTTTAACTTTTTGCACAGTCTCTCGGTCATTTATTCTGAAAATAAAAAATAATATTTTTTTAAATAATGCGTATATACATATAAACATAATAATATATTAATAAATATGTATTTTTATAATTGGTTCAAATTACGACACATTTTACTACACATTAAGTCAGAATTGTCAAAAAAGACTTTTTAAAAAGATTTTTTTTTAATTCGAAAAAGAGCACTTTATTTTTGGTAATGCTTATGTATATAATTCGAGAACGTAACATACGCACTTTGTCAAAGCTGATTGCCTTGATTTTGTTCTCTTTATTAACCTTAATTTTCAAATTTACTCAAACACTTGGAAGTTTTCCTTAAAAATATTTAGAATTTATGTAAAAATTACCTACATATGTATGTTAAATATGGTTAAATAAAATAAATACATAAAGTAATTTTACAAACTGTGTTGTTTTACAAAAAAAAAACAAATAATTTCCTAAATTTAATTCAAAAGTTTTATTTAAAATATGCAATTTCCACTTTAATTTCGATTTTTAATTCCAATTGCTTTTATCTAAAGTCTAAACTAACAATATTATTGGTGTATGTAGTTATACGAAAAACCTGCTTAGATACTCGTAAAATACGTAAGTTACATACGAAATATTTTTGGGAAATTAAAGATTCGGAAAATTGTCAATTCTTTTTAAAGTTGATGTACAGTGTTTAATGCAAAATTTTATTACAATACAGTTTACTGCAAATAACACATTCATGCAACTCTAAGTTTTGTGTCAAACTAGTGTCAGTTTTAACGAGCAATTGTGAATGAACGGTAGTAATATATATTTGTTTTTAATAAATTATTAAAATTAAAATGTTAGAAAAATTTCTTTTTTTAATAAAACTTATATAATTAGCTATTTAGTCTTGAACTTAGATATAATTTGGTTTGAACAAAAAACATTAACAATTTTCTTTAATTTTATAAACTCGATATTAAAGGTTTTTTAAAGGGCAAAGAAAAAAGAAAGCAGTTAATCTTTATAAGCAAGCTAAATCAATGCATTCTCTCTATGCTCTGGTAATCATAACGAAACTTATTTTTGTGAAATGCGAGTTCAAAACAAAATTTAATACTTACACAGTTAAAAAAAATAAAAACAACATGTAGAAAATTAGACATTTTGTATCACATGATAAGTAAATACTTGCACATAAATGTAATTAATATTTACCGCTTCGTTTAATTATAAAAACAAAAATGAATAATAGAAATTTAAAATAAAAAAAAAAATGTTCGTTTAAAGAAATTGAGGAAAAGTTTTAAAAAGTAATCTGAACAGTTGGAATTAATATATATAAATGTGCAAAATAATAACAAATATAATTGATTTGACCAAAAAATCTTCGATATTATTTCAATATAAAACTCTAGAATTCTAAAACCAATTAATATAACAATTATATGAACTAAATAATCTGTAAGATTGCAAAATACTTTATGAAGAATTGCTATTATTGCAAACCAAAGTTTAAATATATAGAAATGTTATAATATTTTGAAATATAAACCAGTTTCAAACTCATAAATTTTCCATAAACCTTAGCGGCACAATTACACTCTGCACTCTTATAATTATTTCGTATAATTTAGGACCAAAATTAATAGAGTGATACCACATAAATGTATATCAATTTTTCTAAGCACGTATTAAATACGCCTTACAGAATATAGGAGATATTTAGGTTTATAATATCGTACACTTTACACTTCAATATTTTCATATTTTACATCGAGTGTATAATACTTAATAATTAAGAGTTCCAATTCATATTGGAATAAAACTTATCCGATATTAAGAAAATAAAATTTTTAAATTTTGAAAAAAAAAAAAAATTGAATGAATTGAATTGAAAAGAATTTTTTCTCATTCGCATTGTTAAAATTAATCATCATTTAATTTAATTAAAAGAAATTGGGATACTTCTGGCGAAATCACAAAAATTTTTCTCCTCACTTCAAATTATTACTTATTTTAAAATTCCCAATGAGCCAAGCTTATAAGCCAAAGTTGTTTTATTTAGTTTCCACTTCATCTTAATTGATGCATTAAAAAAATATAATTAAGAAATACATAGATTGTATAAGAAATGAGCAATTAAGGTCACTTGTTATATCTCACTAGAACAACTAATACAATTCAATTGAAGAACAAAATTAGTGCTGTCTAGTTATAGGTTAAAATTTTTTTTTATTAAAGAATATCAAAGTGAATGTATGAACGTAGGCCTGCGTAAAATCTTAATTATGAATTCTATAAATAAATACACTTATAAATATATACATATGTATATTGCGAACTAAACAACTATATGCTTATTGTATAATATTCTTTTGGCCTACATATTTAAAACCTTTTAATTAAAGTTTATAATAACAATATTATTGATGCCCTTACATTTAAGATGACAGATCAATGTAGAAGAGAAATCTATACTTATAAGATAAATTCATATGAATAATAAAGAAAACATAACAGAAACTCTTTTAAGTATATAAAATTTACTTGCTCAAGCAAGAATAAAAAAGTATATTTTTAGTAAGGTTTTAAGACTTTATAAGTCACAAAACATTTTGTATAAAATCCTTACTTATAAAACGATCACATTACATCGTATCAATATCATAAATTTCAGTATAACAAAATGCAAACGAAATAATATCGGATAAACTGAGTGGTTTATTAAGTAGCACATTTCCCTTAAAAGATGTGCTATACTTTACAAGCATATTTATTTAAAAAAAACTTTTTTCCTTTCACTTGGAGGAAATTAAAAATTAAATTATTTAATTTAAATAAAAAAGGTTCTAATAATATAAGGGTTAAAATGCTAATTAGCTCATTAAAAATACACATAAATTAATTTGTTACTTTTATGCCTTTTAAGTAAAGGGGAATAAGCTGCATATTTTGCTGTGTTTGCCAATTATTTAAGGAAAATTTGATATCGATATTATATACGTTGTTAAAATATGAGACTTTTAAAACGTGGTCGACATATAATTAAAAAACAAAAAATAAATAAAGAGGAACAGGCATGTAAATTAAAATTTTGGTCTACAAAAAGTATGAGATTAATTTATCATACATGTATGTATTCAATTTTAGCTTTCTAAATTAAAGAGTATAAAAGTTTTAAGATGATGCGATCGACGAACAAACGAAATGAGATTAAAAAGAATATTTTTATTCTTATTAAAAATTACTTAAATCTAAATAAGTAGGTACCCTACGTTCATATTTGTAAAAGAAGAATTAAAACATCTTTTAATGCTTATATTTATTATTTATAAGTATGTAAGTATAACAATTATAATAAATCCTAACCTTGAAGCGCTCAATCATTTTGTTCTGTCTGGTTTAAAATAAAATCAAAATATTTTCTTCTTTATTTGTATTTATGCCATGAGATAAATTCTTTTGATTTATGGTACGTAAATGTATAAACTACGGTATAAAACAAAATTACTTTTAAATATTATCATCTAAAATCGGTATTATTTGATTTTGTGTATATGAATGTATATGAACACAGTACAACATTTACATAAATATTGTAGAAAGAAGGGAAAAATAAAGGAATGTAATAATAAAGAGTTTGACATAATTTCACTTTATAAGCGAATTAAAATATAATGTTGTTTTTAGAAAACTAGATTATCATGAAAATACATAAATAATTTTGCCTTATTAGTTATTTTATATTATATTTTATATTATATACATACATATGCAGATATACGTATGTATTTAGTATAATAATATAGCCTTTAGCATATAATGTTGTAGAACTAAACATGTTTTCATTGATTTATTATGCCTACGCATCTTAATTTTAATACAATATGAAATGTATTTTCATACAAACATACACACAGATGCATATAAATTTATGTGCATACACGAGTGCCATCTATATTCTATTTGAAAAAAAATTGAGATTTTAACTTCATCTCAAAATAAAATTGTAGTATGATAAAAATTAAAATGTAAGAAAAAAATAATATTATAAAAAAGATTACCTTACTTAAATACGACGAAACGAATAATTTAAAAAAAAAATGTTTTCTATAGCATAATAGAAAATAGTTTTTTTTTGTATAGCATATAGAATATATTATAATATGTACGAAGTAAGGTACGTGCAAATGTGATTAATTTAATGGTGGGCGTTCAAAGGAGTGTAAGTCCAAAAAGTAAACTTTTAAGGAAGAAGAAAAACCTAAATAAAATTTTATATCAAAATTATAATTAAATTATAATAAAAAAAATCCAAGTTTTTAGATTTTAGAAATTTAAAAAAAATAAGGAAAAAATATCACCACTTAACTCAAAGACTTATCGTCATTATGATTTAGTAAACAAGTTCATAATTAAATGAGGAGCAATCGAAATACAAATAGCAATTACGACTAGCTCTATATTGATCATAAAAGCAAAATTCAGACATAACCATGCATAAATGTTTTAAAAACAGTATATATAAGACTTTTTTGAGCGCCTTACTTAAAGAATTGAGGTTTAACTGCTACTCTTTTGAGCAATTTGTTTTTTTAACGGATTATAAACAGAATCATTAAATTTTTATATTTTTACAGAAGAAGAAACACCAGTTTTACTTTCTATTTGTCAATTATAACACAAGTTACTGCACAAAATGAGCTTTAAACGTCCACCATGTGTATATAGAGTTAAAATTTGTGAAATTTGCTTTAGAGACTGCAATGTAATACAATGGTAATGTGTGAAAGTACCACAGTTGGTTTTATATTTACATTTTCATTCACTCAAATAAAATTGAATTAGAATTATACTAATGCTATAACGTACATAAATTTTTTAATTTGTTGATTAGTGCTCGCATAATCCCTCGGTTTTATTTAAATATTTCTCCAAACACAATTAAACTAAACATTTAGCAATAAAATTTAAAATTTTAAAAACAATAAAATTCATTTTAGTATATGATTTTGGTAAATTACAAACAAAAATGA